ACGCTCCAATGAACACATAAATGAAATATTTTATAAATGAGTGATACAAGAACTGATTACTATGTTTATTGTAAGTCTATGTAAATCATTAATATGTTAGGTACAGTTATACGTTGTGAATCTAAGGAAGAAAAAAATAAATTATAAGATGGATTCAGCTATTTAACAATGTTTTCTTGAGATCTCTTGGACTACTCAAGTCAACCTGCAAAACTGACCTCTCAGTGTACTACTTACATGTCAGAATATTTACCTGCATATTCTTACCTTATTCTTTACGTCTTTCTATAATGACCTTTATAGCTGCCTAAATTGTCTTGAGGAAATTTGGTTGTTAAAGGAATACATGAACTATAAATAAAACCCGTAATTGATTAGTTCTTGGGTTATTCCTCCCCACACACAAGAGAAGAAATATGCATGCATATTCTGTGAAGTAAAACATCAATTAAGTTTTTTTCAAAATTTAAGTACATTCTCCTGTTCAATGGCAGTTAAAATATTTCCTTGTGAAGGTTTCTCTGTCCAAAGCACCAGGACGAGATTCCAGAGTGGATGGAAATGAAACAGTTCTTACACAAAATACCTGTACAAAGAATAACACTTATGCGCCTTTAGTGTGTAAGTGAATTACATATTTCTGCTCACGAGAACTCTCATCCTACCACAGGACAACACAGCAGAAATACAGTTCACCACAGACGGTTTTTTTTTTTCAGTGTTATGTTCATGTGTGACTTAAAGCCCGAGAGCACCTCACCATTGTATAAGGAATCATATACATCGGCTTTCATTCACTGACCTGAGACAGTAGGAGTGACATATTTTTGTACTGAAACGCTCAAACCACAGCATACCACGAAGAAGTGCATTTCAGTATTATGCACATTTGCAGCATGTAACAAGAGCTTGTGCTTTGATATGAAGTCTATGCCATCTACTATTTCACCTTCAGGGAAACATCTGCAATACAACTAGGCATGCACTACTGAAGTAGGAATCAAAAAAAAACCTTCCTGGCTTAGGTCTTGAGCCAAGAAATTAGCCTGTAGAAACTGAAGAATAAATTAAGTTTTTCCACTTCTTCCTACCTGTTCAATAGGAAGACGGAAGTTTGAGTGCCTCTTCTACTTTATCTTCTACTTGCTGAGCACTGCTTCTAACAAAGGAATTGTTACATGAAAGGAAGGCAGCAACAATTTTCATTCACATGAGAGTCATCTCTGCCTTGTTCCATGCCTGACAAAAAACACTGGGCTGACTGGATCACAAGCAGATTAAGCTCTGGCATTTCACTGCTCTCACCCCATACGATGCCAGGAGGCAGACACCTGACTTGGACTGAATAAACTGCTGGCATTCTCAGATGCAGCCATCTTCCTCCAAGTTCATTAGTGAAAGTTAAGCATTTACTTTGGAGGTAACAATTGCTCCTGACCCAGTCGTAATGCCTGAAATTTAGGCATATCTGCACCGAAGTTAATGCTCAGATTCATAAAAGTTTCAGCCACTTAAATATTTGCGAGCAACAGGTTATTGACATTTGACTTCTCCGCAGGCTCCTGTATGCCCACCAGAAGTCATTGCGGACAAGACTACACTTTAACAGTTTTGTATAATGCATATACTAATACTGGGGGGCGAGAGAGGCAAGGACAGACCTAAGCTGCAGGGCAAACTTCTCAGCTGAACTGTAATTCAGTGACAGAGGAGATGGGGAACCTTCCCGTTTTCTCCTTTATGGAACATAGCAGGGAGAACTGAACTTCTGTAACTTTTATTCAAACACATTCAGCAGCAGAATGGACCAATGGCACTCTGCTTCTTGAATCTCAGCACTTTATTTAGCTGATGTCTTCTTGCATATTGGAACACCCAGATATATGTGCATTTATACTTCCCATGTAGGATAAACCCAAGACTACAGTTTTAGAGAAAGAGAGCATTAGATTGATTGACATTTGAGGGAAAAAAAAGACTAGCCTTCAAGCTCACAAGCCCTCTTCAATTCTCTCCTTGCCTTTAAATCCTTAGATCAGCTGTGTAACAATGTAATCACTACTATACATCATAAATCTATAGCTGACTGCAGATAACTTCTTAAGCCTCCCATTCATAGTCATCCCAATATAATGTTCAAAACTTTATGCAACAACAGCAGAAAAAAAAAAACCCAAAACTTTTTCAGTTTTTCCAGTGAAAATATTTATTTCCAATTGGGTATGAAAACCACACACACGATATGACTAATGATTTGCCTCATAGGGTCCTCCATCGTTTACCTTTGAGTAGGCAGTACCATGCAAAGCCTTGTGAAGTGTGGAAAGTATTTACAGTTTTTATGTAAGAGATATATTAAATATTGATATAATTTATGATGTATAGAAGTGTTTCACGTAGGTTAAATGTTCTATAACTTTTTTTTTACATAAGGATGTGCGACAAGTTTATCCATGCAAAGTAGGTGGAGGAAAAAAATCTGAATTCCTTAAAAAGGAACTAAACAAAAGTACTCCATAAATTATCCAGTCTAACTCTCCTACTATACTTTAACTGTTACATTCCAGTGAAACTAGAGTGACCTCTGCCAAATTTAAATAAGCTACTTAAATTCTAAGTAGTAAGATGATAAAGGTCAGAAACTGCTGGATTAAAGCAGTCTTTGTAGATTTTATTTAAAACCTGCTTTCCTATTTCTAACTTGCTTCAAAAATAAAACCCTCAACCTTTTAGATAAAGAGTAAGCAACCCTTAATTACTCTCATTGTAGCTTAGGACATTATTTTCTTAAATACTGTATTCACCCCCGAAATGTTTTATTTGAAACAAATTTCCTTCTGATAAATAACATTTCCCTCATTTTCCTGTCTGAGGCTTGCATTGCTCTTGCAAGGGTTGTGCAGTTTGCTAGGAAAGTGAAAGTTCCTTCCTTGGTACTGAAAAACTTGTCGTCTTCTGTAGAAACTGTGAGGTTCATTTTCCATATTCTGAATGTACCTTTCACGCTTAAGTGACAGCATGGAATTTGTTTCAGAAGAAAAAAATTTGACTTTCAAACCTTTGTATTTTCTCAAGTCTTACAACAGTTTCTGCAGTGGCTTGAAGCAAGTGGATGGTTCACTGGATGCGTATCCCACCTGCCGGACATCAGCTCCCTCCTCCATGGCAGTAATGCCTTTGTTAAAAGGTTTCTGTACAGCCAGGGTTCAGCATTACAGCTCATTTATAAAGCAAGGGAAGGCTACTGAAATAAAGTTAGCTGTAGCGGAAAGCCTAACATTTGTGGTGAGATGTTCATCATTGACCACAGAACAGCTACTGACAAGCCCTGATGCCCCAGCTACTTCAGCTGCTATGTCTACATTGCACCACACCCCAACCAAAGTCGCTCCTGCCACCACAACATACACCGAAAGTAGTTTAGTGTTCAACAGCATGTGTACTACTAGCAGCGTAACTATTACAACAGAAACTCAACAAGGATTACAAAGCTTGTCAGATAAGCAGAACAGCAGAAAGCAGAGCTTAAACAGACCTGACATTGGTGGTAGTGCAGTGGGACAGCCAGCAGGACCACTGTGGTTTGTACGTACTACACCAAGCGTACACTTTGCACTCAGTGGGACTCTCTCTTTGCTCCAGTACCACAGTGTAGCTCTATTTCATATTGCAGTAGCATGGCCTCTTAAGGGGAGAAAGAGTAGAGGTTTGTTCCCTTGAGTGAGTTCCCTATTGCCGTGACAACAGTAAAACACCCCGATGATGTGTTCATTTACAAAGGAAGAATATAAAAGTGAGATTTAAGATTCAAGTCCTAAATGAGGAATACTGGGGAGTGTCCAAATCAAGATTATTATTTTTTTAATTTGAAATTGAGTGAGTAGTAAATGTTTTTACTCCTCTTCAAAGACTGGATTTTATGAAGACATGCTAACTCCCATACAAAAAAAAATAAATCTAATGTAGTATTTATAGGTGAGCAGGAGCATGAAAGCACAAGCCATATGTGAGAAATCATGTCCTTTTGCAGATTATACAAAAGCAGTAATTAACATAAATAGGATTTAGAGCTGAAAGATGATGTGGTAAGAATATCAGGTATCTGAGTAAAACATCAAGTTAGTCAACGAACACATCCGCGTACTGTATGCTGAGACACAGTCTTCTGGCACTGAACTCTTTCAAAATGTAGCTCATAAAGCCTTTAGCATATGTCAAACCTCAACTCTTTACAATCACAGAAGCAAACCTTGCCAGGAAAGATGGAAAGGACGTATACCGCAGAAAATTCATATTGAATTGAAGGCAGGAGGTACATCAAGACGGTGCCTTTGATCTCATATATACAGTCTTTTATGTGTGACATACAGAAGTTAACCACACCTTTGGTTAATAAAATTCATGGTCTTTCATTAATAGACATGCATTACTCTCTGTAGATCCTTTACACAGCTAGTCACATCACTAAGTGTTACCACAGTCATTTATACTTTAATTCGAATGCCTTTCTGTTCCTGAACTAATTTAGTATTTATACAAGCGTGATTGCTACTGTACCGCTTACTATACTGTTCTTGATTTCCACTTTTTTTTTCCCCATGTGCCTTTCCAAGACTGGTCCAAAACTCAGGGACATTCAGCTAACTGAAGATATTCTGTGCTTTTATGTAATTCTTCAAAGTATAATTCTTTATAAAATTCTTTACAGTAGCATTTAAAATCTAATACAGGCTTCATTTGCAGTATGAGCTTAGCATAGAGACTAAGCACTTGAATTACTGGGGTTTGTCAGCAAGGATAGTCTGAGACTTTTGTTTTCCTCTTGAAAATGGCTGAAGACAGTGTGTTTCACTCTCACTGCTTCCCACTGGGCTTGCAAAAATCCCAAAACGGATGAGCAAATGCATCCTATATATTCAGTAAAGTTATTAAATGAACAGCAACAATCTGCATTTCTGCTTCTAAGTAAACTCCAACTTCTAAATAAACTCCAAGTCAAGTTTATTTTTACATATATTTAGATTTATTTGCTATACATCACTGTGACCTTATAGTACTTAAAATCCATTACAGGATTTTTTTGTTGTAATAATCAGTCTTAACTCCACAAAGACAATAATACTGCTGTGGAAGACCAAAGGGGAGAAAAGCCATTTCAATTTATTTACAGTTCCTTATTTTGTAAACATTTAGTCTACACATTGCACTATGTTCTAATAAGGATAAAGAGCTATACATAGAGACAGGAAACAAAGCCCTGTATTTCTATTCATATTGAGCATTAGCATATTATAGATGAAACATCTGCCCTTTCTCATTACCATAGCAGTAAGCTGTCTTCAAATAAGGTTTTAAAACTTTCCAGAGATGTAAATATTTTGAAATAATATACAACTACATCTACTTAAGCCAACCCATTTGGCTTTTATTCCATTTCTAGAATAATTTAAAGTGCTATAAGCAACCCGTCAATCAACACTTTTCTATAATAACAAAACTACTTTAAACATTAATTTACAAGATAATATACAATGTTCATCTGAAATAGCTGAAATTTCAGCACAAAGTCAGTCACTGTCACACTTAACAGCAATTTTTTTGTTTTGTTTTTTTTTTTGTTGTTGTTATGTTTTTGCAGAACATAGAATAAAAGCTTTGAAACAAACAGTTTTGTTGAGCTGTTATTGCCACAATGGCTTATCAATTTTCCTACAAAAGTGGACAAGAGCTACTGGAACTGTATTCTAGCCTGTCATTTTTTTTTGAGGTCACATGACAGTAAGTTTGCATATTCCACAAGTCTACTGAATTACAATATTGTCTACCTATAGTACATTATCTCATTTTAATCAGAGCTGGTGCTAACTGTAAATTTACAACATAGACCCACTCAAAAACATCACAACTATTTTTTTTTCTTTGGACAGGAATAAGCTATATTCTTGGAGTTGATGTGCTACACGGCTACAACAGTATAACAGTATATATCTGACACTTTATGTTGAAGAAAGATGCATCTGTTTCTGTACTTTTAATGCCCTACTATAGCTACAAATTGTTCACTGAGTTTTGCTTGCTTTAGCCTTTTAATTTTGTGGAACTACCATATTCTTACATTCCCTTGCTATTTTGTAAGTCCTTGCCACGTAGCTCAATATTGTCAGTATTTGTCCCAAACCTGCAGATCATTAACAGTGTGTGCAAAACACTCTAATACAATCAGCATGCAGCTAGAACACTATTAACTGACTTTTTTTCTAAACACGAACAATAAACAAGACAAGTGGCACTGTTGACTTTGGAGATCTTCTAACTTCACCATATGTGTACTGGTATGTGTTAAGAAGGAATGCTAGGCTTCTCATCTATCTGTGGCACCATATGAATTAACCCATCATTGGTCCGGACCAATCTCTGCAGTACCGCTGCCAACTACCCACACGCAGCTTTCTTATATAGGTTCACAGAGGGCAACTTCATTTATAGACATAATTTGAATACAAAAATAATAACCTATATTCAGTGAAGCAGCCCCCTAGCAGGATTGCAGAAAGGTGTGTGTGGGAAACCTGGGAGGCAACTGTAATAAGTAAGGATAAGAAAATTTTGTAGGCTGCAAGGCTCAAAGTAACTAATGTTAATTTTTAGTCCACATGGTCTATATTTTGTAAAAGTGTCTCCAGCTTAGAAAAAGTAGGACAGTATATTACAGATGTGAGAGCATGAAAAAAAGTCTGCTATTTCAAAATAATAACTAGATGGCCACACTGAAAACTTATAAAAAAATCAAAAAGGTAAAACGGTGCATTATATTGCTCCTAGGGATTTTTCAGCTGCACTGATTCTTGTCAGGTTTGGGACAATACCCTGTAGAAATAGTTAAATACTCATTCAAAACCCCAAATTTCTATGTCTTGAATAATGAAGTCTTCTCGCTTAGAAAGTGTATGATTCCCAAATGTTTTACATGAATGACTTCTTCCATGGTAGAGATCACCATCGAGCCAGAGAGCAAACTCGCCTCTGCAAGACAGACAATATATTAAAGTGAAAGACTGAGGGAGTAAGCATTAAACTTATGAATATATTTTTCATTCAGAATTCAGAAACGAGGAGGAATTACAGAATTTTTTTCAACACAAGTACTTCATAGCTGTTGATAAATTTGAAGCTGCAAAGACTTTTTTTTTTTTTATTATTTTTTATTAATGGGATTATCTCCCTCTCTCAGATATTCTGAAATAAAAAGCTAACCAGAATTCCTCAGTTTTCAGCCACTTCCATTTGTATTAAGAAAAAGGCATAACAGTACTCTTCTATGTGAGAAGAAAGGTGATAACAAATGACGGAAACATCCCAGAAGCTTATGCACTTGCATGGGGGGAAAAAAGGGGTGAGACAACATAAAATTTCTGAAGATGCTGGCATGTCTTTGGATGGTACAGTTTCAATTCAAGCCTCTTCTAGTTACACATAATTTTCACATTTATAAATTTGAAGCTGCAAAGACTTTTTTTTTTTTTACTATTTATTATTAATTTGGGAATATCCCTCTCTCAGATATTCTGAAATAAAAAGCTAACCAGAATTCCTCAGTTTTCAGCCACTTCCATTTGTATTAAGAAAAAGGCATAACAGTACTCTTCTATGTGAGAAGAAAGGTGATAACAAATGACGGAAACATCCCAGAAGCTTATGCACTTGCATGGGGGGAAAAAAGGGGTGAGACAACATAAAATTTCTGAAGATGCTGGCATGTCTTTGGATGGTACAGTTTCAATTCAAGCCTCTTCTAGTTACACATAATTTTCACATTTACATACCTTCAGAATCATACTATCTTGTGTGCATTCTGAATATACCAAGACACACATGCAAGCAGAGCATGCAAGGCAGCATGACCTTGCAGGACTGAAACTCGATGCCACACTATGCTGAAGACAAACCTCCTGTTTAATTCTCCTGAACATAGGAAGCTAAACATCTGACATATTAAATCTCTCTCGGCTGGTAACTGTTGAGTCCTGAGCTATCAAACTGAAGTCAATTCCAGATTTCCTTTTCAAAGGTGTGCACACATATACACTTTTAACAGACTCTAATGACAAAAAGAATTTATAACTTACCCTCCTCCACCAAAAGCAAGGGAGTCCATGTCTCCTTTAATGAAGAACATGTTGTCTCCTGTCCATTTGAAAACCTAATGAAAAAACACAAAACCAGACCAGTAAGTTAAAATATCTAAACTTTTTGTTTGGGTGGAAGGGAAACCAAACACCAATAAAGACACACTGTGGGTGGCTATAGGCCAATTTTATGAAGTTACCAAGTTTACACAGAAAATTTAGGGAAAAGATACATGCAGACAAATTATCTTATATTTTATACTACTAAAATAAGACCATTCCAAAATAGGTCTTCTTTGAGCACTGAAACTTCTACACAATGAGAAATACCAAGAAAATATGTTTTGGTTAGATAATATGCCCTTTAAAAGGATGTAGTTTGTGAATTTTCAGACCGATACCTGGCAGAATTTAGAATAGTAGAAAAATCTTCAGTACAACAGAAGAGTCAGGTTGAATATGTTTTTCTCTATGCGAACACTACCACTTTACTGTACACTTAGGGATTCTGTGGAAAAACTACTATGACGACATTTTTTGGGCCAATTCCTAGAATTTTTCAGATTATTTACTGTTAGATTTATTCAGTAAGTATCTTAAAATAATGCATATGGGGGGGGGAAAAAGCAAAAGCATACAAAGTTATTACTACTTACCTCAAAATCTGGAGAAAAAGTGAACATAAAGGTCTCTCCAGTCCCATAAAAGCCATCACTCACTTTAAATGGTTCAGATGCTAGTGCACCAAAAACCTGTAAGCAAAAAATATGCAAGAGAAAATACTCAAGAAAAACTACACGGCATCTGAGAATCTCTAGTGATAGTAACTGATAAACAAATCACGTTGTAAACATTGCCAGATTTGGAGTTCACTATAAGATAAGCCTCACATAGAATCACGGTTCCAAATGCATTGACTGAGATATGGCATGGTGCTTTGTGGTACAACAAAAAGAAGGTAAGAGGACTCTTTCTCAATAAAAAGTGAAAGTAGTAAAAAAATAAAAATCAAAGGGATAAAAACTAAACTCAAGAAATTCACAGAAACAATGTACATATTTAGGTTCTGCTCCTTCATATGCACCTCCTCTTCCACTTCAACTAGGCTATTTTCTGAGTTGTTATTTTTCATATAATTTATTCATTCCAATCCAAATAACAGGTAAGCACTGGTTACTCTGTCTTACAACAGAGACAGGCTTTGCTGGGTAGTAGAAGTTTTTTTAATATTCAGTAATAAGAACATTACAACAGTAGTTAAAAAGGTCTAAGGACTGATCATTGGCTTTTTAAACCTGATTAAAGTAGTATCAATTTCTCAGGAACTAGAATAACTAGAAAAAAAACCCGCATGATTATACAAAATCAACTATACCCCATGAAGTACAACCCCCACAAAATCAGTATTTCTGTTGTTAGTAGGAAGTTTGTTTCAACATCTGCAAGAGCAGAACAGATATAAGTGCCAAAGCACTCCACTACCGCACTCTTATTTGTCTGTATGAGAAAGAAAGTAAAAAAGAAACCCAAACGAAGTTTCTGCGGTTTTGTTCACATTAAACAGTGAGTTTGAGAAGCATGGGACTGATGAGAGTGAGACATTAAAGCTAGTGTCCTGACTTGGATTACGTTCAGGATATAAAGTAGAAACTATTTTCTTCTGCCCATCCTAAGAAACTCCTTGGCCGTAGGTATGTTTTCCAAGCATTCCTTTCCATGTTGAGCTCTATAGTAGCTGTTAACAAACACAAAACTAGGTGAGCGTGAATTTCAGATCCGGAACTCAAGGATTATATATGGCTATCAAGCATCTAATAAAGACTGCCCCAGCTCAATTTTGAGTTACCAGTTCAGAACAACCACTATTAGAAAACTCATTTTTCAGCAATTTTATGTGGTCCAGGTTTCTTGTTCAGAAACTTGTAATTGAAATAGAAGATAGCAAGCCTGAAAGAAGAATCATGTAAAGAAAAGATGTGCTCATTATGAAATAAAACACCCTCCTGCCCTCAATATACAATCTTCCACTGAATGGTTATGAAAAAAAAACCTGCTAGCCTTCTAAAGAATATCAGGGATGCTTTTCTTCAAACATCCTGATAAAGCACATCAGACTGTGTTAAGTCTAATAGATCAATCATGCCAATAGCAGATGTTTTTAAATCTTTTTGTTGAATTCAAGCACTAATCTCTTGCAATAAACTTTTAATAATTTTGAAAAAACTATGTTCAGTAGCAAACAAAATTAATTCGATGCAGGTAGTACCGCACATTTTAGAAGTCAGTGTTGACACCCCATTGTTACAGAGCAGAAGAGAGGTAGGACTTACATACAGAACTTGAAGTCATAACACCTACAGAAGCTTCCTTAAATAAATAACATAGTAATAATAATATATCGTACATATTTTTTTAAGAACAAAATATCACTACACTAACAAGATATTTTCCTGTTCCTTTACTTAAAGAGAATTACATTTGAGGATACATGGGACTAGTATTTACACTCTAATATCTGATTCTCTGGAGGAATTTTTAAACTTAGTTAACAAAGAGATGAAATAAAGTATCACAGTCAGGTAAAGCTGCTCACTTTGAAAAGACCTGTATCAGTTTCAGAGGCATGGTTAAAGAGCAAATTCAGTCTACAAGTGTGAAGTTCCATGAACTGAGGTGCAAGTGTCTGTACCTCTGTTTTAATGCAAGCTCACAGGAGAACTAGCCCAGTCCTTTTTTTGCACAGACATTTATTTCATTCAACATATAGGATCAAACACTGGCAAGACATTTCTCTATTATCTCACAGTCTAAAGGACAAGAACAGGCTTAAGAGAGAAAACTACCATTTATGTTTTGCTTTCTGGGGAAATCAGACCAAAATAAAGGAATTTTTTAAAGAAGAAGATGTTTGTGTTCCTGTTACTTTCCAGAAGGCTTTTTAATTTTGCCTTTTTTTTTTTTTTTATCCTGTGTGTGGCTTTTTAAGGTAGGCTTGCAATGAGTCCCCAGTGTTAAGACCTACAGCTTTTTATACTTTTCTTTTTTTAGCCCATTACTAGTTATATGGCCTCGTGGGTCAGAGAAAGTTCAAGTGAGATTTGACCAAGTATAACATCCAATGAAAGATCTGTAGTAAATCATGCTCAGAACATTAAATGATCATATAGTCAACAATAGCAACAATAATTAAAAAAAAAAAAAAAGAGGTCAGAGAAGTCCCCCTCCATTCTGGCATGATGGGAAGGGCAGGCATGGGGGGAAAAGAAATTAGGAATTAAGTTGATCTGAACATTGTTATTCGAGATTTGTGGGAAATCAGCTGGCTTAAACATAATCACACTGATTTAGTCTAGAGCTACAAAGACATGCAAAGTGTTCTCTTCCCCCACAATCTGAAGAAGTCAAAACATACACTGTAGACAGGGCAGTTTAAACTGCTGTTTGATTTCAAGTTTAAGAGAAGCAATAGTTGTCCTATTAGAAAGAAAACTAACTCTAAAATCCTTTGTCTAAAAATAGGCTTGGCTCAGTTGAAATATGTTTTAAGTGAGAAAACTTTACAGAGTGATTCACACTAGATGATGACATTTGAGATTGATAGTAGTCAATCATTCTAGGCTGGTACTTCAGGTATTGCTGAAAATTCTCTATGAGTAAAGGCTGGGAGAGGGATTCTTCTAGGCATGCTTTACTTAGTTTTGGTTAAGGCTTTTAATGACTTTATTCATTATAAAATCAGGTCTTCCCTCAGAACTTCAAGAATTATTGGTTCATTGTTCTTCAAAGACAACTGACCAAATATCAAAGCCTTCGATACTAGGTATTTGACTATCCTAATCCTCAAGTTTCTATCAATTAGGCTGTTTAGCAACATAACATTTTTTTACGATTTTATTCAGTTACTTCAGTGTCACGAAACAATTACCTCCAACCCTGACTTCATGCATATTTTCCTCAACAACAGAATTTGAAACTTCAAGACAGTATTTCATTTTTATCTGATCTTTACCACCCGTTCCATTAACTGTAACTGTTAAGGTTAAAAATTAAAGATGAAAGAGTCAGAATGCATAATTGCTGTAGTCCATTCTGTCTATTGCTGGACTTCTGCAGAAATCAGTACTCAATTTTTTTTTTTCCTTCTTTCGTTACCTTTGCACATGTAATCTCTAAAATGCAGAATAGGTAAGACTTTTTTCCTGCTTGTGATTTCACGTGTCTGGGGCAGTAGGCTAGACTTCAGAAACCTGGGTGTAACTTTTCTCTGTCAAAGATTTTATGACCTTCGACTGTGCTTACTGTATGCAGGTAACTGAACTTAAACAGAGCATCTTTTAAGGTAAAAATCCATATTGAATTCAAATTAAGAAAGTGGTTCATGAACGGAACAAAATGGGCTGCTGAAATAAAGAAAACTCCATGTTTAAACAACTACATGAATATTTTCCAGCAACTCCATAGCAATGTGAAGCCATTGAACCCTTCCAATTATTTCTTAATTTATATGTAGCTTCAAACTATCCGAGTCTCTGTATCCTAACTTCTTTTAAGGGCTCAAGTTATTCTTTGAAGAGCAGCTCTGGTAGCTACATTTGGGTAGCTAAGATATGTCTGTGTTCAGATCAATACCCTCAGGGCTGACATTACATCTAGTAAGTAAATGTAAGTAAAAAAATTAAATAAGTCTAAGATTTCATTAACAATTGACATTCCTTGAGAGGAATTAACCATCTGTTAGAACAACACACAGAGTTGTGCCAATCCTAAAACTATCTCAGTTCAGCTTCTACACAGGTATGAACTTGTCATACTACACTTATTTCATTGTTTGTCTTGAATCATCTCAGGGCTGTTATTTGCATACCAGTAAAACAGAAAGCTAGCACATCCTAACCATATGTAAAACCTTACATGTTCTATTTAAGAGACTCTGAAGCTTGCTTCATATACAGATACAGGAGTATTTTATTTCTAATTATAGAATAACTTCGGTTATAAAGAACCTCAGATGGTCTCTTGTACAGTTCTCTATTCAAAGGAGGACTAATTCTGAAGCTATACTGGGTTGACTCAGAGCCTTGTCCAGCTAAGCTTTGAGTACCTCCAGGAATCGGGATTCTACAGCCTCTCTATGTACATGTTCTATACGCTTCTGTCAACAAGTCTGGGTCTTGAAAGATCACGTTGTTGCTATAAGCAACATTAAAAGAATCAGGCTTTACATCAAAAGAGCAATTTGCTTCCCAACAGTTATTTTAGTCCTTTGAGAAGTGAGGTCTACAGGGTTTTTGCATGAGATCGGACTATTGTGGCTAGTTGTTGGGACCAACAAACAAACTCCCAAGTTTTAGGCTCCAGGTCTCACACCTTTCCAGTGTATATAATACAACCTGAAGAATGACTTATTGTAAAACTAGACAGTGCTTTGGTTGGTTAACTGCATTAACTCCACTTCTGGAACACCACTTGTTTAGCAACTCATGTTCAGGAATTGGGTGTTAATTTCTTTTTAAATGGCTGTCAGAGTAGACACTAGATCTTGGTGTTTTCACTAACAGAAGCACATACCAGTAGATAGACAGCCAGTCCATAACAACTGTAATGTAGATATCTATAGATTTCATTAGCACCTTTATTAGAGATTCTCCTAGAATTGACAAGAGCAGGCAATTTAGGTGGCTTCAGGTTCCAACCTTCAACTAGACAATGTCCAGCTTTTACAGAAATAAAGCTTTAGTTTGTGAGAGCTGGGTGTTTCGGCTGCTTTTTTTTTTGACAGCCCTTTAAGTAAAACTATTAATTGATTTTAAAGAGAAATCAAGATTGGAGAAGGTTTTGGAAGAGAAAATAAAAATAAGGTGAGGCTTAGCAGCCTTTAATGAACGATATTATGAAAAATATTATGAAAAGTTACAAGGTGCACTTGCTCCTTACTCAACGTCAACATCAGATAAAGGCTGTCTTAATAAGCATGGACAACAAAAAACAGGGTCTCAAAGGAAGTAGCCCAGCAAATAAATTAATTCTAGTTCAGAGGAAAAGTACCTCAATCAAGCATAAGACAAAACCAGTATCTTTCATAAACACAGAAGCTACAAAGTGGGCAGAACAAGGAATGCCAGAAAGGAGTGAGGAGGTATGCTCAGCAAATGACAAGAAACTATCTGGTCATAATTCTGTCATTCTTCAAAAAGGCTGAATCTCATTTGGGATCTTCTCTGAACTAGACAGCTTAGAAAACAGGCAGTGATCTTGGAGCACAAAATATGAAAACACCTGGTCTCACTTAAAACACATTTTGGAAGGGCATAAATAGTATTTATCTTGGCATATTGCTAGTGAACTATTTCTGGATACACTCTCCTATAAAAAAGTACTCAGATTCTTTTTCAGTCATGGAAAGCAGTTTTATAGGACTATCTGCCAGGAAGGTACAAGATAAAGATAAATTAACTGCTTTCAAAAAAATCAATAGCTTCTTTAAAAGATGGATGGCCCTCATTAATTACCATCAAAGGGCATAGCAGGCTACCATTCTCTTATTTTTCATGATTGTAGATCCTTCCATCAAGAGGAGAAAGATTCTACACTAAATTTCCACAGGTTTTGAATTCAAAGATAGTGTAAAATTAATTTTCAGCTGTCAAATGCAAAGACATGTCACATTAATAGCTTGAGAGACAGAACTACTGAAAACACCACTCTCACTACACTGGTGAAGAACTTGGCATGTAAAACTTGTCTGAACCTTTCCTTCTATGGCATATGTTGCATGCTGAATACACATGAATTTCACTCACTCTTGTGTGGAACCTAGGTAAGATCTGGCATACACTGTGAAAGATATAAGTTCAGGTGGCTACTTGTCCCAAAAGTCTAAGGAATGCTTTCATACATGTTCCTGGGCATGAGCCTGTAAGTTGAGATTTGTCATGGCTTGTTTCGCAAAAAAATTATGACATGTCTACGAATTCCCTGTTTGGTTGGGCAACCATGACACTTTTTGAACATGCAAGTTGAGATATTCATATATGGAAGGGCATCTGAATTCTTCCAGCAACAGAACAATATTACATACTGGTGGCAAGACAACCCTGTCAGAAAAGGGATGTTTTCTTTCTGGGCCAGATAATCAGGTACTAGGAAGTAGATGTACAAATTAATCTTGAGGCGCTAATACGGGAATCGGAGAAGGAAAGTTACCAAAGTACATCTAAGAGGCTGATGGGTCTCTGTTGAAACATCTCAAGTCTATTGAGTAGTTTTTATCTTCACTAGCAGAGATTTAAAAGGGATTTTTCTTTTTAAGGGATCCCAGAGGCAGGAAACAGAAGAAAAAAAACAAGTTGTGACTTGAATTAGAAAACATACCCTTTATTTACAGTTTGCAGCCCCTCCTGAATGATATGAGGTGATATGAGCCCACGCTTCCTGAAAATAAACAGTGGTTACCAAAGTGGGACAGATAAGTGAAGTAAATGCCACAGATTTTGCAGTGGTTCTGTCACTTCTTCACGACAGCAGTAACTTACTTCCACAAGGGAGCACAGAAGTTTCAGAAAAAGAATCAAAGTCTCATGCTGCCTGTAACATTCACTTGGTATCAGAATACTCAAGAGAAGATGTTTGTTATTCAAAGGGTCAGATGTGATCCACTTTCTGGAATTCACACCCCAAAGGAGAGTAGAGCACAACTACAGAGACTCAAGGAACAAAAATCTGTTATGCAGCAAAGATCCTGCAGCCCTAGAACAGGAGAGAGATGTTGGCTGCAGCCACAGAACGTACCGAGACACACTGGCCGCAGCTGGCAATGACATTCCAACTCAACAAGACCTTCCAGCATCAGGAAGTTTTAGAGACTATATTTCTCATTCTTTAAGTGCATTTAAAAGAGAATATTAAAAGTAAGTTCATTAATTGGGTATTATGAGACTCATGCATGGTGACAGTGAACTTATATCATTCAAGTATTTCCTAGAAATGTAGCGTGTCAAGACCGCTTGACAGTGAAACATGTTTTTAAAAGCCTCTAAGCAACTATCAAGGAGAAAATCAGCTTAATGCACACAATTTTATCTCCTGTGATGGACTGATCTCTCAGCTATTCCTCTATACTCCTCAAACATTTTTTTTGATGGGTGCCCTACCTCCATGTAAACATTTTCCTACCTGTCCATCACTGTCCTTGATAACCAACAGCACAGGTGTGTCTAATCCCAGCATAGTTCGATACAAGGTCTTCAAGCTCATGCCATGCTTTGCAGTACTGTAGACAAGAGTCCATGGATATCCAATGGTCCGTGGTGGAAGAGACTTTGTGAGCTGTTAACAAGATAATGACAACTCTCTTATTTAATTTTTTACTATTTTTTAAGAATATGTTACATATAAATGAAAGCTGATTATGTTCTTTTAAACTACTACAAGTGGTCTTAAAAGCTAGTTCAAAACTTCAGACCAACTCTGAAGTTTCACATGTACATTATCTATCCCTGGTCTCTCAAAGTAGCTTTATTTTCCTACCTCTACCAGTGACCTGTAGGAGAAGAATGATTTACCAACTGAATAACATGTGTTTGGTGAGGTCTCTAAACAGTTTCTCTAAAGACAGTACAACCACATAGTTTTTCTTACATAACAATACTATGTCTCAGTACTGGGGAACTAAACCACTCAAGTCAACAGGTAACAAGCTGAAGGGTGAAGGATGCTTGCTCTCTTGTTCCTATGCCTTTGAATGCAATCAGCCTTGATCCAAACCTTCAATAAACACATTTAATGAGATGACTTTGGACTGGACAGCAAGAACTGCAGTGAAAGCCAAGCTGTTTTCCAGGAAGAATGAAATAAGGGCAAAGACAGACTAGTGTGGTCATGGTGTATTGTTATGATAAGAAAAAAAAAAGGCAACATTTTAGCTCTGAATTGTGTTGTGCTTATGCATTTAATATCACACAAGATCTTCCTACTGATGTGTTTTACACTACAGCATTTGTGATACATTATTGTACAATAATAAAAAATTACATATATAAGTTAATACCTTCTCAATTTGTTCTGGCTGTAGTAATTCACTGGGATCGCTAAGATTTGGCCGGAATGCTTCAGGCTCCAGGTCTGTTTTGATATTTGTTGCCTGTTTTGAACTGATACCTTCTCTTGTTGTTATCTAGAAAAAGAACAAGAAGAAAATAAATATTTGCAATTCTGTTAGCAGGGAAGAGAAACTGCAGGTTTAAGATCATGCAGTTACCAATTTACAGTTACGCAACTCCTTCAAAAGTTAAGAAGTCCATTAGATTTGATCTGACCAAGATTTCCACCGCTTTCAATAGCAAGCCGGTACTCAACTATATACTAACAATAAATTACACAAACACCTACTCAGAAGAAAGCTATGGTTTTATGCTTGGAAAAAACCCCCAAACCCAAGAAAACAAAAAAACAAAAAAAGAGTCCTCATACACAGCTGAAGGACTTCAAACACTTTTCAGAGGTCAGCTTACAAAGTCCTTGCATTTTAATACTAACACAGCATTTACATTAAATGTAATTTAAAAACCCAGACAGGAAAGGAATTGAAACTTCAACATGGATATTTCTCAGTAGTTTCTGAATCAATACTCTTTCAGAATACTCGTGAAAGTTTTCAGATATGTAGTAGACACATGGAAAGACTGCTGTCAAGTATTTTGAGTAAAGCATCTGAATGGAGCCCTAGGAATATTGCTGTTCCATAAGCTGATCTGCTGGAGTCCTTATGGGAATCAAAGAAGAGAGGATTGAGAGGGTAGGGAGGGGAAAACAGCAGTAACACTTATGCTGCATAGCAAGCTTTGGGGTCTGGCAAAGATGCACTATGCACAAACACCCTGCAGCAGTTTAAAATAACTGCCCCATACATTCACCCTACTGAGTTGTTGTAGATCACCATTTAGTGGAGTTGGCAGCAGAAGGCCTCGAAACTCCTCATCAGATATCATAGCTTATGACAGCTTCTTACCCCAGTCCACATTCATTGGCACTTTAAAGCTAAAGTGCCACGTGTTGAGAACTAGACTAGCTGAGACCCAAGCAGGTTTCCTTTTATGAATCTTGCTGCAGGGATAGTTAAAACTTGCTGTGGGGCTAGTGAAATCTGACAGAGGAGTAGGACAAAGTGAAGGAAGTTAGTAACTTAAGCCTCCACAGCAAGGGTCATTAAAATGTTGAAAGATTTGCTAAGGAAAAAAAAATGGTAACAAGAATGAGTGCATTTGAATAATTTATCAGCCTGAACCAAGTTCACTGAAAGTCAGACTGTCCAAATTATTTAAAGCCTGAATCCTGAGAATTTCAAGAAAATACCTGCCAAAACCACCTGCCAACTCCAGAATAACAACCAGTGTTTGCCACATACCTCATACTCTAAACATACAGGACACAACTATGGTATTTCACATACCACCATGACAAACTTTGCCAAGCTTTTGCAAAGAGAGCTTTCTTAGTTAACAAAAGAAAAGCCAAATCAAAGAAAACTCTGAAATACAGTTAAGACTATTTAAACAAATACAGCCACCTGAGCCAAAAAGAGAATATCCCTTTCCTCTCCCCCAAGAACTATGGGAAGAGTTATATCACAAACTCCTGTTACTTAAAAATAGGCTTATAAAGTCAAAGTATCAAAGTATATTTATACAATAACTTAATTACAATATTAATTCTTAACTCAAGAAAAGGTGCACTTAGAGAAAGTGAGTATCAAGCAAGCAAAAATCTCAAGCCTTCCATTTTTCAATGGAAAGTAACAAGCATTTCCAATGTAAACTATGCACTAACCTCCATATAACAACAAAAAAGTATATGCATTTATCCATACAGCTTCACATACAAAAAGATGACCTACAGACTGCCATTATAGTGTTATCTGTAAGACATGTTATTTGGTAGTCCAACTCTTTTCCACCTCAAATGCCTTTCATACATCATATATTACTTCTTCAACTCCATAAAAGTTCAGCATTGTTCAAGTATACAGCAGAAAGCTTATTTCCTTTGTTATTCTTTAATTCTGATTACAGTGTACCATGCAAAACATGAATAATTTGGATTGGAGAGGGGGGGCTTGTGGCTTTTTTTGTTGGTTGGATTTTTTGCCTTCTTTTATTTTTTTTTATTACAGTAAAGCAACTTTCTTCTAGGGCCCTGCTTTCTTTGTAGAACCCGACAAAGACATGTGTCTGTCGGTATGTGTTTGTTTGACCGCAGGGCGGTTTGTTTCCCTGCCGGAGAGGGGGGGCTTGTGGCTTTTTTTGTTGGTTGGATTTTTTGCCTTCTTTTATTATTATTACAGTAAAGCAACTTTCTTCTAGGGACAACACTGCTTTGTAGAACCCGACAAAGACATGTGTCTGTCCAAAGGTATCTGTTTGACAGAACGCAGCGCAGTTTCAAAACCTGCCAATTTATTTCCCACTAAACTTTGACAGGGTAGACTGACCTGTAGTCAGATTCCAGGGGCTTCTGAGGCTAGTAACTGCCACACAGTCTACACCACAAACACTGAAAGGGCCTCAGAGCAGAGAGTTTATAGGCTCCAGCCTATCACATCAGATTTTTCAAGTCAGCCTAAATCCTGATTTTGGGCATTTCAGGTGAGAGGTATTTGGAAAGAGCTCTTGCACTTCCAGGATATTAATACAAGGATTCTCCACGACCACTTGCCAGAAACAGAATTGTTTTGTTCTCAAGTGGGAATGAAAATTTTTTTTTGCAAAATTTCTGGTTTTCCCATAGAAGTAGAACTGCAGCTTTTAGGTTCATGCTCATTATTGATTTATGCAACCATATTACTTACAAAACATTTTAAAGCCATTAATTACTGATTATTAAACAAACAGAAATAAAACAGCTAAGAAAATGTTTTCTTATGTGTAATTACATAATAGGTGAAAAAAGCCAAGACCAAAGTAAAAAAACAGAACTGAAACTTTTTACAGTTTCAGCAGCCAATTACTACAGGAAAACAAAACACTCAATGCTTCTAAGGAGTTCTAAGCTATGCTTTCCATCACTAAGTTATGTATGATGTACACAGGAGCTAACAATTTTATAATTGCTAAAGAACTAAGAAACACCTAAAGAGAATGCAAATATCAGTTTAAGTCCATATCAGTAAACCATCAAAAATTCAAACCAAAGTACTGTTTTTGGAACAGACAGTTCCATTACCAGCTCCATGTGTATAACCTTTGCCATGTCGAACTGCCTCAGTTACCTGCTTGCATAATGGGAAAAATACTTACCTATTTCACAGAAGTTGTGAAGCTTCATACTTGCCAAGTACTGTGAGATTCTTGATGAAAGATTCCTATATAAAATTAAACACCCATGCAACAAGGTTTTGAATTCTTCACCTGGTTTGCATTCTTTTTAGGAAAGCTTCTATCTAACACAACACACCAGTCTAAAGTGGAAGGTGGAACACATCACTCCAAGTCAAGCAGTACTGAGAACAAATTTTCAAATTCTGACAGAAAATTCCTGTTTGAAAAAGTTGGAAGTAATAATTCCATCATTAAATTACTGATTCCATCATAGCACTGCACAATTACATACATCCAAAACAAAGGAATTTTCTGCTGGATCCTTGTAGTGCTGTAGACAAGACAAACCCACTAAGTGTGGGACTTGCCCTGATCAAAGACACTACAAAGAAAGATGTTTTAGTATCTGAAGATGGGGTTTAAACTACTGAAGAGGGCACCTGGAGACGTCTGCAGAGTGTGCGCAGTTCTTCGCTATTTAGAGCATCGATCCTGCGGTGATACTCAGCCACTGACACTACCTGAATATGGAGACAGGAAGACAATAATTCCACTGACAGTTGAAGAAAAGTAAAGAGGTAAGAAAGAAAAAAGTGGAGGAGAGTAATGAAGGGAAAATGTGCAATGATAACAAACAAGAAGTGCTAAAAGATGTGTGTTTCTGCAAGGACAATGTGCATGTAGGTGATTTTAGACATATGAGTAGACACAGCAAAATTACAAATTAAACGCTAATGGCACTAGCAGTCAGACATATCTCACTGCTCTAGGATGAATATAGAGCTGATATAGGAGCACATAAAGTTACCAGTATCAGGATGCTAAGTTAGCAGTCAATCTGAGTTGCATGCCTTAACCCAAACTCTTCCGCCTGAAGTCCTCTCAAACACTCTTTACACCCAGATTAATGAATCCTGTGAACCTGGTTTGCTTTCCTGGATAAAGACTAGAAGCAAACCTCAGTTTTCTCAGTAGGTTCTGACTCTTCTGTCTGACAGTGAAGATACAGTTAAAGACAAGGTAGCAGGACTAAAGTTTAATAACTCCCCCATACCACCCCCACAGTCTTTATCCTGTACTTTCTATTCATCTCCAAAGCTTCACGAGCTGCTCATCTGTCAACACATTCACTCCAAATGGCACCTCCACTTTGGCAGGAGGTGTACAGCCATAAAGCCTTTAGTCAGAAAGCTCTAGAACATGCTGCTCTGGTGCAACAAGCTGGCTAAAGGACTACAACAGGTCATTTTGATGTAACTACAGCAAATAATGTGATTTTGAGAATGACTCAAAATCATCATTTGTATGAAAGCATCTTAAAACAGCTGGTGGAGAGATTAAATGGATGTCCCATGTAGTAAGAGTGTATTAAAAACTTCTAGAGCCTACCACAGTTCAAAGGAAGATAACCACAAGTCCAGCAGCTCCCCATCTACCTGCCCCTACTACAAGGAGTTTGGCCAGATACTCGCCACTGTCCTGAGTACAGAGCCCACAGTCATGCATGACTGGCTCTTGAGCAGCGATGGTTCACTCTACCCCATGCAACTGCAAGGCAAGGAAAAAGGAATACTTGTGACATCCAGTTTTATTACTGAATAATCAGTAATTACTAGCACTCAATTTATTTCCACCATTTTCTACTGTTCTCTTAAAAAAAAAAAAAAAAAAAGAAAATTGTTGTAAACTATTGGTTTGTGCATTCTGAGTCAAGTAGCTATATCCAAAGCTTTAACAGTATTCCACTCAAGCATAAGTGAGAGTGTAGTTTTATCCTGTTATTTGCTATGACAGTTCATTGTAAATTACATTGTTCACTCCAGCACCTTATGAATGTGATCCTGAAACGCAATAATGTGAGGACCCTTTAGCCTTGTTGCTTCTTTAAGCTCAGTCCCTATCACATGAGAGGCAGTAGTTAACTTACAATGGGCCATAAGTGTGTGGTTACTTAAGGAGATTCTTGGAAAAAAAAAAGTCTCATCACCCCCATCAGCATTATATAGTTGCTGTTTCACATACTGGAATGTAGACAATTTTATCGGCAATGCCATCTCGCCCTCGACTTGTCAAACACATACTCTATCAACATCCTGCACCTGGGAACTGCTTATCAACCCTTTTGCTCAGTGATCAAGATCTGACACACCTTTTCATATGCCATAGAGGCACCTGCATCCTCAGAACAGTGTGCACAAGGTATTTTAATAAATTTCTTACCTGAGAGAAACATGGATACTTATCCAAGTATGTACACAATAATAGCTCCATGGCATCCTGAACCTGTTGCACACCATCACACTACATCTTTACATCTGTTTTGTGAACAAAAGCCTGCATAGTGGCAGACCGCTTGTATACAATGACAAACATCATAAATAGCATGTCACAGAATGTTGAACTATCAACAGGAAAATTAAGGGCAAGGAATCCACCCTTTCAAACCCAGTGCTTATTTTAAGTATGCAGTCCATACAAATTCTGTAAGTAAACTACAAGACAAACTGTCTCAAGGTTATCCACTCATCACAGAAGCAGGCTTTAAAAAGTACACTAAGATACCTCAATGGTTCAGCTACATACAGTACCTGACCTTCTATAAAATGCTTACGGTTTAGGTCAACATGCTTTATTTTTGCTTTGCAGTGGATGAGATGATGTACTTCAGGATTCTGCAGCTCATTTAATCACGAAGTCACATGTCTAAGCCTACTGGCAACTACCTTCTAGAACTTCATTCAGGAAGCAATTGAGATATATCTTGAAAACAGCTAGTGTTTTGTCCCTGCAAGGCCTGAGAGGGCTGTTTTGAAATGTTAGTAGTATCATTAGCTAGAAGTTTATTCTGTGTTATAACCTGGTTTAATTCATAATCTGCTTATGCTGTTTCCTCTTCCATCAAGATTTAATTTTCCTTCCTTGTAGTCATATTAATTCTCTACTCTATTTCACCAAGCTAAATAAACCAGTCATTTTCTTCCCTTCCCCCCAGCCCCTACATCAGCTCTCTGTTCTCCTGATCATTCCAGGAGCTATTTTCTACCTCATTCCACTTCGAACTTCCATTCTTAAACACAGAACTTTTCATTAGTTTTTCAAACAGTATTAGAAATACTTAGAAAGCAAGGTCTTTCATTCATGAAAGACAAATGCAGTTTCGTATGCATCGTACTGGACTGCAGTTTCCAGTATGGAATGTTTCTTTGTAATAAAATTCTTTCATTTTTGGGCAGGTAGCAGTGGATGCCATTTATCTGTATTTCACCAAGGCTTTTGATGCTATCCTATAGTAGCCTTGCAATCAAATCAGTTATGTATCAAATGTGTGAAGATCAAGGCTGAAAAAGCAGCTGGACCACTGGGCTCAAAGAGTTGATGCTATTAATGGTTAAGGACTGGAACAGGCTTCCCAGGAAGGCTGCAGAATCTACATCCTTGGAGGCTTTCAAAGTTTGATAAGCAAGGTCCTTAGTCAACTTGGACAAGTTTTTAACATTTAAGTCTTTAATGTGTAGGAGAAGGCTTTCCGAATTCCAATACAGCCCATGTCCTTCCACAGAAATTACCAAATCGCCCATAATTGTAGCAATCTAAGTATTCTGCCCAGGATTAAAGCGCAGGCCTACCTATATAAGTTTGCTACGTGCTTTATTTGCTGCGCTCTCTTCACTATGCATGATCAGCATCCAGTTTCCTTGATACCCAAAGCTACTTTTTGAGGATCAGGAAGTGTGCCTGACAGACCCTCTATTCTCTCTCTAGTTATTTTCTGCTTCAAAAAGAATACAGGAGAAGAGAAGAACAACTAAACCTCTTATGGTTAACCTGAGCACTGGTTGGAATAGACCAAAACAAATAATGCATATAGCCAGGAGATCAGTGTGCTTCAGGGCAAAAATAATTCTGCTTAGGCACTTGGAACAGTCTACTACAGGACAACTCCAAGGGCTAATCAAGTTTGAAATGACATGGGAGATATCCTTAGAGATCTAATACTACCTGCTCTATTCATAACAGCAACATTGATGAGAAAACATGGGATGAGTCAAGACTCTTATAGCATTAATGCCTTTCAGCTTGACTCTCCACACCATGTATATGTGAGTTAACCACTTATCAGAACACACAACAGTTTTAATATTTAATGCAGTAAGTCAAATTGCAGGTTTGCATACTAATAATTCAACCAATCAAGAGGCTTAGTATTCTCCTTTTGGAGAAATTAATGTTTCTAAACCTTGTTTTTCTGAAAGTATGTCAGAGTACCTAACTCTTGCAAGCTATGCTGGCATACACAGTGAGCAAAACAGAAATCGAAATTCCTCATATGAAACTTTTGTCCTTCAACAACACACATGAAAACACAGTCACAATTATTTGAATGTCCATGAAGTGCAGTTTGCCATGCAGACGGTGACACATCAGCCCTTTCAGTCACTGGTCGTAACAATCTGCTATACGCAGCTGTAAACATGGACACTGCACACACCAATGAGGCTTTCCCAGTCCTCTGCCAGTGTAACAAAGCCAAGAGTCACCAACCCACACGCACCTAATGCTTGTTTGATAACAGGGCAGTGTAATTGCTGCCCTCAAAACAAGTACAGCTAAACTTTCAGAGTTAACAAGTTGCTGAAACTGTCTCCTTAAAGAAAGGGAGGATCTTATGGGAGCTGAGCAGTGCTTCTGAAAGATAAGAATGGAGCATAATGGTGTAAGTGGTTCTCTTCAACATAGGTTACCTATACCCTCATGATTAACTGTGATTATGAAATAAAAAAGCAAATATGAAGAAAGAGAATGAAAGCCAAACAGTTTTACTTTGAATCTTAATACATGTGTGTACAATTAGGTGAACTGCAAGCTTCATGAACATTATTTCTTTAGAGCAAAAAAAAAGTTTCACCTTTAAAGTTCCAGGTTATTTAATTGAAAAAATAAATGCCAATGTAGTTTTATCAGTCCATTTACAAAGTTATTCCAAAATATGAGTCCATCTCCAATTCATCAGTAAATGGAAAGGGGAAAGAAAGGATCAAACCCTTTCTAAAGGCTGTAAATATCTTTCGGTGAAAATAAAAGGTACGTTTGTGAACTGAATGCTGTTATGAATATTTCAAGAGAAAACACTAACTTTGTTTTTCAGACAAATTTAGTTTCCTCCCAAAATGTTAGACGCTACTTGAAAGAAAGCAGTATTGAAGAAGCAGTCTTCTCCATCACTGATACTATTACTTGGGACATATTGATTACACTACAATAATGTATTAGTACATGAAGTTTACCACATCAGATAAACAGTTTTAAGTTATCATTCTGAAGAAACCTAACACTAATCTAATTTGATTCATTTTTATTGAGAAGAAAAAAATCCATGCATAGCATTTCCATGTGTCTCCTTGCAAATATAAGCCTCAGTTTAACAAAATAGATAATATGAAGAGTTCAGCTGCATCTATCATAGACTGTTTACATGCTCATACAATGAGAAGTGTTCCTAGATATATTTGGAGCTAGGACC